AGAGAAGGAGAATTTGTGTTTGTATGGACACCCAAATGAGTCATGGGAAGTGAATCTACCAGCAGAGGAGGTACCTCCTGAGCTTCCTGAGCCTGCGCTTGGTATCAATTTCGCAAGAGATGGTATGCAGAGGAAAGATTGGCTTTCTCTTGTTGCTGTTCACAGTGATTGTTGGTTGCTCTCTGTTTCTTTCTACTTTGGTGCTCGCCTTAATCGCAACGAGAGGTATTACTTCGAAACAAAAAACCCCCTTTTTTCTACAATTTGATTCTTCAGCATTTTCTTGAGATTTTATGAAGCTAAGTCTTGTATCTGTGTATACTTGATTTCGATTTTGATGGATATTGTTCTTCTTACATGAAACCATTGTCGTTTTCCTGTTATGTTTCTTGGCAATTTTAGCTCTGACTTGAAGCTTTTTGAGGGATAAATTGTTTAGTGAAAAAAACGTGAAGAGAAATGGTAAATTTTAGTGAAAATGATGGAGTTTGTTTCGTCTTTGAATGCTGTTTTTCTTCACTTTGATGTGTGTGGGATCTTTCTTTCTTTCTTAGTCTATGTTTTCATGTAGTTTGACTCATATCTTCGGACTTCTTAATTGTTGCATTACTTCATCTGTCTAAACTTTTCTCAGCTCTTTCTGGCATCTTTGGATATTGTAATGGCTAAACTTGAAACTTGATTTTTTTTTGTGGTTGTTATTACTTGATTACTCTTCCACAAAACCGATATTCTGTGGAAGCACGTGTTGAATTTCACCGTTTCATTGTTACATCTGGACACTTAGTAAACTCTTAAAACCGGTGCTTTGGAATCCCAAGAACTTTGCTGAATCGAGGATATCTGAAAGTTGCAGGTTGAAATAAGTTGTTCTTTGATTAGTACTAATGAGATCATATCACTGTCATATATCTTCTGTAAAACGATCTTATTTTGGTTGTTATCTATTTCATTGTTCTTCTTCAAGAGAGGAACTGTTTTTTGGCATTTGAATGGGTACCAATTGTAGATCCATGAAACTGGACTTTGTTTTAGCTCACCAGTAGTAACAGTGTACATTAACAGGTCTCTAAAGTGATGGCGCTTATTTACCATATTATTTTCAGTAGACTAGTAAAAAGCACGTCGTAGACTTTATTCCCGACGATGGTGGAGAATCTAAACATACATAGCTAGACACATACTATTATATATGCATGTACTATTAGTTAAGTTGATAAACAAGGGAAGTTGCATTTCATCTCTTTTATCAGACATTTTGTGAAGTAGATATCAATTAACGAGAGGATATATGAGTCTCAACATAGGATATACCACGTGGACCTTGAGTTCTAACGAAGAGTCTATATTGATCAAAGTTCATGGGAGGATATAAAGGAGGACTTTATTCTCTCATCTGTCCACTCATGGGGTTTAATGTCCTTTAAAACTCGTGTTTTCAATTTGCAGGAAGCGGCTATTCAGTTTGATCAACGATCTCCCTACTCTCTTCGATGTAGTGACTGGTAGGAAACCTATCAAAGACAACAAGCCTAGCTCAGATTCTGGAAGCAAATCCAGAAATGGCACGAAGGTACAATTTAAAAAGAGGAGCCTTCTTTCTTTCTTTTTGCTTTTGGAGATTTTCGGGTGTCTTTCCTTAAAACCAATAACGGGTTTGTTGCAGAGATCGATAGAAGGGCAGACAAAGAGCAGTACACCAAAACTGATGGAAGAGAGCTACGAGGAGGAAGAGGAAGAAGACGAGCATGGAGACACTCTCTGTGGAAGCTGTGGAGGCAATTACACGACCGATGAGTTCTGGATTTGCTGTGATGTTTGTGAACGTTGGTACCACGGAAAATGCGTGAAGATCACTCCCGCCAAAGCAGAGAGCATCAAGCAGTATAAATGCCCGCCTTGCTGTGCAAAGAAAGGAAGACAGTGATGATGGTGATGATCATCATCTCTCAGAGACTCTGGTTCTCATGTCTTAATCGATATATTAATCAACCTTTTTCTTCTCTCTTTTTTTAACCTTTTTAATTTTAAAGCATACAAAACTCTCTCTTAAGATCTCCAGAAAGGGATTTTCAAGAAGTTGAGAGAGAGAGTAGCAATGTTTGAGTATTATCATTATTCATATAAGAAAACTGGTTTGTTCCATCAAATGTGTAATGGGATTTGTATATCTAGTCAAATCTTACGCATTGAACTGTAATCTTGCACTCTTGTGTTTAATCTTTCGTCCTTTCTTTTCTGTCTTGTTAGGTCACTCATCTATGTTTAGATTTTGTTTTTCGTAATTTTTCAAGAAAATTACTGTCTGATGTTATATATAGGATGTCAAAGTGGATTTGAGGTGAATGAGATGCCATAACATGTGATTAATTTTTACTTTATCTAGCTCTCACATATGTAAAAGAAAACAAGAAAAGTAGTGGTGTTTTATTATGTATATGTCAGAATGATTTTACAGAGTTTTTGTTTCCGTGTTGTGAAGTAGTTATGTAACTTTGTGTGGTTAGAGTTTTTTGGTGGTAAAAGAGAATTGTAAACGATAAATGAATAATTAAACAAATCTAAAAAAGAATGATAAGAGATATAGCTTTACGCAAAAAGATTTGTGGTATCGATAATTTTTACCGTTTTCATGATTTGATCAAATGATTAATTAGATCAAATTATTTCCAAGTTCGGATCTAATCTTTTAAATACTTAGTAGAACCAAAAAAAGAAAAAAGAATAGTAGTAACATAATCATGCATGTGTCAAGGAAGGTTGTCCAAAGGAAAGCCAGCACGAGCATCCTCAATGGGGGGATCTTAACCCAAATTCTTAAATATAAAATTATTAAAACACACACTCTCTCTTACTTTTACTCAAC